TGTATGTTAAAAAGAATAGTTGACTTTTAATTAATTAAAGTTGACTTTTAATTAATTAAAAGTCAACTTTAATTAATTGCAAAGCATTGTATTCTTGCCTTAAGGAAAGGAAGTCCATGCTGTTCTACTTTGCATATTATACACCATGCATGATCAATAATGCATGCATAACTTACGCAAACTGCGATCAATATTGCACAAATATCGTAGCCATCTCTCATTTCATCACCATTGGTATTTTCTAAAGAAAGCTTTTGTGGCCATCTACTTTTCTCTCTTGACTTAATCCAAACAGCTTGTCATGCATCCCCAAAGGATTTTTCTTTTCTTCTTTTCTGAGACATAGTCTCACTCTGATGCCCAGGCTAGAGTGAGTGCCGTGGCGTCAGCTCGCTCACAGCAACCTCAGACTCCTGGGCTCAAGCGATCCTCCTGCCTCAGCCTCCCGAGTAGCTGGGAACTAGGCATGCGCCACACGCCGGCTAATTTTTTCTATATTATTTTTAGTTGGCAATTAATTTGTTTTATTTATAGTAGAGACGGGTTCTCGCTCTTGCTCAGGCTGGTTGTCTCGAACTCCTGACCGAGCGATCCTCCCGCCTTGGCTCCCAGAGTTGCTAGGATGACAGGCGTGAGCCACGCGCGCCCGCCTCCAAAGAATTTTTCGAGTCAGATTTTCCGACATTATTCTGTTTATTTCAACGTTTGATGACTCCCATCATATTTAAATTTCACAAAGTAGATCTACTGAATTAGCTGAGTTCTGGGTGATAAATACCGCTCTGCCTTGCTGGTCTTCAGTCTTGAGAGTGGTGTGCACTCCAGGCACTGACTAAATACTTGCTAAATGGATGCAATTCCATTTATAATTTCAATTCCTAAAACTCCTATCATGGGAAACTGAAACAAGTTAAAAGTTAAGGGTTCATTTTTGTCTTTTTTTTTTTTTTTTTTTAACTATATGACAGTCTAAGTTCTAGAGTTTAAATATTCCTCTGAGTTTCACCAAACAAATGACTTGCAAGAAATAGCATACCCTCTGTTTTTTTTTTTTTTTTTTTTTACCTATTTCTTTGGAAAGAATTCCCGCCGACAAAAATAAAAGGCTCTGTTCAAATGACCTGTGTAGATACGGAAACTATTCATGGGTGTTTCCTAGGAAAATTCCTGTCCTTTTTTAAAAAAAAAATTTTTTTTTTCTGAAGCTCCAACTCACAGATGATAGATTCAGAAACTATGATTCCATGAGCAGTCTCGAGTCTCCAGTGAGCTTGCTGGACTCCAGGCACAAGACCTTGATTCTGGGTTGGGGTGTCTGATACCAGGGACATCTCAGATTGCAAGGGAGTTCCTCTCTTTCCTTCCCTCATTCTGGAATCCTCTGACGGAGCTGCCTTACCAGGAATAATTATGTCATGCACAAAAGATCCATGCAGTCACTTGCTGGTGTGGGGCACAGAGCCAGCGCCTCGTTTTTGTTTGTTTTTGAGTTCAGGTCAACTTTCTTAGGAGCTTGAGTCAGGAAATGAAGAAACCCATCGATCGCAAACGCCTGTCCGACCTCTTTTTCTCACCGGTCTCTCTCTGTCCCTAATGAGGGTGTAGCATGACCTCCACGTCAGTCTAAGTAATTTTTTTTTTTTTTTTTTTTGCTTAGGTAACTCAGTCCATCAAGATTGGGTATATTTTTAGGGTTCATCTTCATGGCTAGAGATTAGAATGGGAGGATTCAGGAATTAAAGAATGGAGGGTGTGTATCACGTTGAACTCGGTAACGTGAATTTCTTCTTTTATAGGGATACCCGGTGTAGTTGTTTCGATTCTTTTTTTTTTTTTTTTGAGACAGAGTCTCCTCTGTTGCCCGGGCTAGAGTGAGGCCGTGGCGTCAGCCTCGCTCACAGCAACCTCAACTCCTGGCTCAAGCGATCCTCCTGCCTCAGCCTCCCGGTAGCTGGGACTACAGGCATGCCCTCCATGCCTGCTAATTTTTCTGTATAGTATTAGTTGGCCATTAATTTCTTTCTATTTATAGTAGAGACGGGTCTGCTCTTGCTCAGGCTGGTTTGAACCCCTGACCTGAGCAATTTGGCCTCCCAGAGAGCTAGGATGCCAGGCGTGAGCCACCGCGCCCGGCCTGTTTCGA